TTGACGAGGTATCTTCACGAAATTAGGCACGAGTTGACATTGACAGTTCACACATCTATTTGTTTACATTTGTTAGGTACCCTACAAGAACAGTGACGGTCATCTGATGGGTAATATGACAGTCAAAGCTGACCATAAGTCCGTCATAGCTGAAAATTGTCAGTTATGACTGAAACGCTATCAGAAGTGAAAAATTCTTTTGCGCAGTAGATAATATAATTTTTATTTCTTTAATAAATTTCAAACTTTTAATCAAAATTAGTTATAATAATATACTTAAATACAAAAAGGAATACAACAAAAAATATAATAAAATATGAAAATATAAAAATAAATTTTCACTTGATGCCATCCCCTCCTCTCAATAGCTCTGCGTACGTCTTACTCCAATCAGTGGATAGTTCTGAATTTAAAAATGCAAATGTAAATTAACAGTACTGACATATCAAATGTGAGTGTATTGGTGAACCCATCAGCAGTTTCTTGTAGGATACGTTTATGTCAATTATGGAATGTAAACAAATTGTCAACTGACATTTAGGCCTGCAAAATATGTATTCTAATAATATCGATTAAACTAGAGCAGGCACCGATTATAATGAGTGCAATGTAAGTTTTCAAGGGGTTTTCTGCGAAAACTGTGTTTTCGTTTGACATATTTTGTATGGCTGAAAACACAATTTTTCGCCTCTTTTGTCTATGAAAACACGAATTTTGTGTCGGTGCGAACATAGTGTAAGGCAATAAATAATTCTCCGCAGAAATTGGTCAGATCAGATCACTATATCGTATATCTACAAATTGAACGTTCGGAATAAAGTTCTTGTAAGGGGCCTTTGTATTTGTGAAATCCTTCGGTGCAATGGAAGTTAACTTTTTTTTTGTAATAAAATTAAATGGACAAGTTTTCTTAAAAATGATGAAGTTTAGCCCTGAATTAAAATTGAATTGGTATAGACCAAGGTCTATACCTCACATCCCTTATATAATGAACTCCGAACCTCTGATTGACGTTTGCCACATAAACTCAATCTATTAAATTTGGCCTCTTCGGTCGAGTTTATATCACATATATGAGATATATTCATTTGAAGATGTTTATAATATAATTTTAACTGACGCGACAAATATATAGCAATAAAGTTAAGTCTAAGTTAATGATTTTCAATATAAGTCAAGAAGGTACCAAATTTTATTGTAATTTATTCACGAATTCATCGAATACTGGATTTCCCTGGCTTTGATTCTTGCAAGTTTTAAGAGTACAAAATGTTCGGTTACACCCGAACTTAGCCCTTTCTTAGCAAAAGTACAAGTATATAAAAAAATATGGTATTATGTGCAAGTCACATAATTTATTAGCACAAAACTGTTTCGATCATAATACACCAAATGTTAAAAAAAAATATATGCATATACTAATCTAGTATAATACTAAAATCTTTATTGTCTTAACATTTCGTTAAATACTTGTTACCGTTTTACTACAAAGTTATTTTAAAAAATTTCGTTCATGACGAATCTGTATAAAAATTTGCCTGTTTACATTTAAATGAACTTCTCTCATTCAATTCAAAGTCTATATCAGCTTTGAATTGGGGCCATAAAATTTACTCCAAGTTATGTTTAGAAACTTCAAAAATTCTCTTGCTTTCGATTGGGAAAATTACATTATCTTTGTTGTATAATAATTGTCACAAAAACTATTTTCTGCCTTTGAGAATGTTAAGAGTCAAGAGTCTACCAGAAACATTCATGGGTGCTTAATTTGTATACTGGAAAGTGAAAGAATCAGATGGAATTTAAAATTGTATAATATGGGAAGCAGGTATGATTGCATCTTTACACTAAGGCATAAGAATATCAGAATAATGCCACCTACTGAATTTGGTTAAAATAGTTCGAGTGGATCCCGAGATATGGCTTTCCATCTAAATGTAAGCGGTCCCATGCCCATCGTCTAATTTAGGCTGGCTCCTATAAGACCCTCTCGTACCATCTCGGATGTCTGGCTTTTTACCATATTTATAGAATTATCGCACTTTAAGTAGTTTTTGACAGCATCGATATATGGGAAGTGGTAAGGGCATGCTCATTTTTATACTCTCGCAACTTATTTCTACAGAGTATAATAGTTTTTTTTAATGTAGCTTTGTGCATAAAATGGATAAAATCGGTTTAAAACTTGCCCTAGCCGCCATATTTGTATAACTAATATTACGATTTTAAAACATCCGGTTAACTTTATCCCGCATATATTTGATGGTATGTGAAGTACCTTAATGAAACTCAGAGATCATCTTTTTCTGTAGTATACCAAATATAAGACAAGATTTTCAAACTTCTGATTGAAAAGTTATGAAAGGTCTGATTTCGTTTTTTTTGAACGTGAGATGGACGATAAACTTTGTACAAAGTTTTGTTTCGATAACGTCGCTGACTCTCGATATGTATGCTGTGAAATAAAGGAATCAGATGGACTTTCAAATTGTGATAATTATTGAGATATAAGATTTCACCTAAAGGCGGTTGGTGCCATGATTGGTGGTATGAATTTTCAAAATTTCAACGCTATGAAGAAAAACATTTCATTATAAAAATAAGTAGACAGCCTATTGCTTACGAATTTTTTTTAGCTTTTCAAATAACAGTTACGCTATTTATTTGGATTGATGTATGGAAACGGCTAATTTATTTATACAACACAACTAATGGATAAATCAAAAAGATACACGAAAGATCATCTGATGAAAATTGCAAATTGTACCTGTTTGCGTTACAAGTATCAAATATTTATATTTATTTGTACACACTTTATTACCATTTATACCATTGGAACATTCTACATACAATAGTGTATGTATGTATGTATGTACGAGTATATCCATTCTCATTAAAATCATGTAAAGATTTTATTTGAAATGAGGAGTATTGATGAGGATGATTGAGTCTTATTATATTTTAATTCAAACTTTATTGATTTTTCGTTAATTTTTTACATATGGATATGAAAAATATTTACATATGTATAATTTTGGCTAACAAGTTTAAATTATGTTACGTTTGAAACTTAAATAATAATATATTTATATGTACATACATTTGTATGTAGTTATATGTACATATATAAATATACATATACATATATCTTTTATTATACGATCACGAATATAATACATGGATTATTGTGAAGTATTAAATATGGTAACTAATTGCATAGAATTGCTTTAGGTTGAACGATATAACAAATATATGTATGAAATTTAAGTTTATGTGGAAGTTATGTAATGTATACAGTTTTTAATAAATATTATTTTATTTTCTATAACTTTGACGTATTTTATGTAAGAATATAAAAGAAAAAATTAAAAGATTCGACATGCAAATATTAAAAACTATTATAAACCGACAAATAATAATTTTAACCAAGCCATATTTATCTTGATTTTAAACTATTTTAAAACAAATTGATCGTATTAAATTGTTTTCAGTCTATTACAAAAGCTATTTAAATTTAAATATTCCTTAATCATTTCAAAGCATATATAATATGTACATATGTATGTATGTTCAGTGATTTAAAATGTATAAGTATGTAATTCATACCAACAACGCAACTCGGTAAAGTAGCAACAATTACCTTTGTTAGTTCGTCCCATTCTCTTTTGCGAATTTTACCCTAAAATTTTTAGTTCGCAGGCATTGTATTTAACTATATTAATATCAAAATATAATACAATCTACACACATATGTACGTCATATAACTTAATATTTCATATATTGAAGTTAGTTTTAAGAAACATTCTATGTGTACATACATATGAACATTTGTATATATATCATACTAGAATTGTGGATACTTAATACCTAACATATCAACTAAGTGTTTATACTGAAAATATTATTATTTTTTTTTCACTTCAATTATTTTATAAGTGCAGGAACTAATACCACTTAGAATTGGTTTTTATGCTTGCCAAGGCAACAATATTAGGTAACTATTCAAAATAAATTATGAGCTATTATTTCACGACTTGTTATTGCTGAACGCTAATTTTTTATAATGTTTCTATTAAGTGCCATAGAGACGGTGAAATAATTCCATCAACGCTTTAAGTGTATTGGTGTCTTCGGCTTTTGCCGGCTATGCTTGATGAATATCAAAATTTTTGATATTTTAATTAGACGGCTGCTAATTTGATCGTCTTCACTCATGCTTGACAGCAAAACCCCATTGGCATAGTGACAGTTGAAAGAAGAACAAGTCGAAAAAAAAAACTATTTATATTTTAGTCAAAAAGCTAAAATGTAATTAAAAGACGAGAATTGTTAAATTTTACATTGATTAAATTTTTTGGATTTGTTGTTTTAATTTTATAATATATTATATAATATAATATTTTGGTGGGGTGATGTTAAAATTTAATCAACATTTAATTATTTAAAATTATAATTTATGAGTTATTGATTCACTAATAGGGATTATAAGATTAAGTTATGTTAGTTAAATATCTATGCGATACAGATACTCGGATATTTGGCGTAATCTCTTCACGCATCACTCATTGTTTTTCTATTGATCTTTTTTCTATTTGCTTTCTTTTTTTCGAATAAAACTGCAGCATACCCTAATAATAATAAATGGTCTTTAGATGATAATATGACAACCGAACGCTGCAAATATATACGTTGACGTAATTATTTGACCGTCTCCAGGGCACTTTCAATTCGGGTCAACTTCAATTTTCATTTGTATGTATGTTTTGCGTGTGATAGCCTTGGACTTAGTCTTACGTAAACAATATATTTAAATTCCTCACTATTGACTATTTGTTTATTTTCATAATAAATCTGAGTTATTGCACTTTAAGAGCCCAGCTTTTATTGCTTTTTCGTTCTTTTATCATTCGTTCTGCGTAATGAAAATGGTTCTGATGCCCTCAAAACTACACTCTTAATTTAAATAAATGTACAAGTATTTTAAGGTAAATATTTAAAATTGCTGTTAAATATTATAGTTTTTATTCAGTTTCACTGATCTATCTCAAGATTCTTTCCCTTTCTCTAATAATGCATTTTAATATGGTATAAGATTAGCCAAATAAAACTTCTGACAAATTACTTAATAGTTGTGCTTTTCTAAGACATAAAGATAAAAATTTGGGTTACATTAATGCTTACAGTCTCCTTACATGCATTCGGAATAATATTTTGAACAGGCCATAAAACAAGAGAAATACATAAGTATATAAACAAAAAATAGTTAATAATAATTTATAAAAGAGCATTGTACAATATAACAATGATTTAAATAGTCACGAATATTTATATTGTTTTAATTATTTAGTAATTTATTTTATTATTAAAGCACCGTAGAAATGCTACTTTTATTTTAAGAAGACTGAAGAAAATTTTATAATAAGAACTATTCAAAAACTTGTACATGGCCTGAGCAGCAAATTATGTGAAACCAAAAACATTACTTGTTGTGTTTTGGTGTTGTTAAAATGTATTGATTACAAATTAACAGAAAATTGATAGTATGCTAGACCTGATTTATATGTTTTGAATACAGTAATTATTAATTTAAATGGTGGTAACTAGTGCAATATATCGGTGTTACAAGTATATACAAATAAAATTTAAAAAATTGGAGAACAAAGACCTTTAGGTGATATTATTAGATTTAGTGGATAAAATTTTCGTTGGAGGCATAATATACCAATTATTATAAATAAATGGGTGTCTCAAACTTTGTGAAGACTTGAGAAATCAGATTTCTTTTTACAGTCACAAAGACATTGTACTTGAACATTTGTTAAAAAAAAACTTGTTCAATTGTAAATAATAAGAGAAACTATCGAAAACTTTGGCGTTTTTTGTTACACACTCTACTGACGTTAAAAAGTTTAACAAATGACGCATAATTCAGTGTTAAAGTGTTAATGCATTTCTAAAATATATTTTGCAATTATGTATTTAATTTTAAAATACTTACATATTTGATCCCTCTTATTCTTATATTTATCTATATTCTAATTCTTTCAGTTTTTTAACTATTTAACTTTAATTAGCTTAATTTTTTATCTGATCTGATTGTATTCTGCCAGTTTCAGATTCCAAAAGGACCTCCTCAACTGTACGCTCCTCTTTTGGTTTCGCAATTACTGTCAACACATCTTCCTTTAGACCCGTTTCCTGTTTTACTATGCCATCCTCTAGATCCTCGTCTGCCTTTATACTCTCCGCATCAAGCTTGGGATCAACGTTTGGATCACTTTTGCCATCACCGGAAGGGTTTCCACTCAGCTCATCAATATCTATAGCCACAGCGGAGCTTGGTCTTGGGCGAGGTGTAGTTGGTTCACGTCTTTTCTCAAGCTTCTTCTTTACTTCTGCTGAATCACCGCTACCTAATTCACTAGTCAATTGCATTTCAATTGATTCGTTGGAATCGGAGTTTGTGGCATTGATTGCAAGACGCGAGAAGCGATCGGATATAAAGTCGCTATTGTTATAAATAGATGTTTCAGCAAATAGATCTTCAGCTGAATTCATAAAAAGAGCCACCTTGGCTGAAAGTTTTGATAAGTTTTTAGTTGTACAGTCAACGCATGCTTCATAAATTGCAGTAGATGATGCTTCCATAAATTCAACACCATTACCACTACCTTCCTCCACCGGTTTGCGTGACCTAAAAACATCAAATGGGATACTACGCTGTTCTTCCTTTTCGTCTGTCTCCACAGCATCATCGCCTTCATTTATTGGAAAATTTACATCTCTCAAACTAAAATCATCTTCGGGTAGTGAAGGATATGCAGGATTTGATTCCACTGTTAAAGCGGTTTCCTCCTCTTCTACATGATGTCCATTTTCTGAAGAATGTTTTGGAGATTCTGTAGAGATAAAAGATAATGCGAGCTGCTCTGTGCTTGTGAATATGTTATGTGAAGTAGAAGTTAAATCATTAGCTAGTACTTTGTACTTTTGAGTTGTACTTTTCATATGCAATGGTGAACTAGTGAAATTTGAAAGCTGTGGTGGGGGTAGTATTACAGCGCCTTGAGGATTTGAGGCTGAAGCTTGTATCTCAAAGGAAGGGAGTTGAATATCTGTATGGAAAGTAATGTGTAATTAAAATTTACAGTTAAAGAGCTATTGAATTATAAGACAAAAATGTTAATGTTACTTTCTTGCAAAGATTATCTCAAAATATTGAGAAAACTAAGATTATTCAGAAATGAATTAATTAGACCATATTTGTTTCTATGCAAAGTTTATAACCCAACCTGTATTTAACAAAAATATGATGATGGAAATCTCTGATACTTTGTACCGGATTGTCTTGTAGTGGAAATCTTTGTCAACATGTTGAATGTCTTACTCACAAGGTGTAGTAAACATTACTTTGTACCGGTATATCTTGCTGAACTTTTAAAAATAACCATTGATTCCGCTTAGAGTTACTACATTCCTATATGATCTACAGTTAATCTATGCAAAGCACGTACCTTCACTTTGCTTAAAATTGACAAAACCGTCAGTGTTTCCATCCATGCGTGGTCCTGAAGTGGTCAAGATAATGTGATAAACATTATCACTGTCCGCTGTTTCTGGTTCAAAGTCAAAACTGCCCTGGGACTGCAAACTGTCATTTTGTCCACCACCATTACCTACCAAAAGCTGTGGGAAATCATATTCCTCGATGGGCTCTGCTGATATTGTTCGTTCTGTTGTTGCTAAATTCTCACGCTTGATATTTATTTTCGTTGAATCATTAAAGAATGCATCATGTGGTAGCTCTTGTGCTCCGAATTCGAGAATCTCACTATTGTCTTCATTAAGCTGTTCCACTACCGCTGAAACTTCACCCTTATCGTTATTACTATTTTCAGCGCTTGCAGCGCTTTGTGGTAAAACTACCTTAACAGTATTGGGCTTTGTACTTGAGTAAGCGACAGAAGCGCTAAGCTTTAAGCTCTCGCCGTTATTAATGCCCCCATTCACTGGAATTATAATTTGGCGGTTGTTGTCTAAACCAAAGCTTGAGTTGCTGTCGTTGTTGACATTTGAACCGGTTATAGTTACGGTTGATGTACTCTCATCACTGATACTGTCTTCCAAGTCAGTTGTTATTATTGGTGTTGAGGTGGGTACACTTGCAGTCATCTGCGTTGCAGCGCTGCCGTCAGTTATTGCTGTTGATGTTGACTCCGTTGTTGCTATTCTGGTAGTTATTGTAGCTTGAGGTTTGAAAATTTGTTGAATTGGTATGGCTTTGTTAGCATCGGTAATGCGTATCTCAATCGGTTTGGTGATCTCCTTAATAGTGATTTTCGTATTTTGAGGAACTGTTTTTTGTACTGGCTGACCCAAAGATGCGATAGCGGCGTTTGTTTCTTTGGGTGCTGATGGATTGTGCGATTGATTTCCGTTATGACTTGGATCGAAAATGGATACTTTGGTTGAGTTACATTTCCATAAACAAGTTATTTGGTTCAAATAATATAGAAGAAATGAGAGAATTTTTTTATATTATGAAATAGTCATGAACGCATGCTAATTAGTTTTCTTGTTATTGTACTTTAGAAAGTTACAATATGTTTTATTTTTTTTAGGAACTTGAGTAAAACGTTAGAGCAAGGACTTTTGGTCCTACTATCTATAGTAAATAACTGTATTTATTTATATTAGAAGTAATTGAAATAATTAATTTACCAGGACAATTGTCATATTCCGGACAGCAGCGGCCGGGTATGTACTTGGGCTTACAATCATCACGATGAAAACAGGTCACAGAACTGCATAGTATTTCACCACCTGTGAAGGAAGAATCGATATATATTTAATTAATGTATATTGTTTTATAATTTCAGAGACTTACAGGTTCGTTTATAATAATATATTCTCATTTTTATCAATTACATAAGTATTATATTGTTAGTCTTAAAACATTTGTTTTTCCAAAATTTGAAAAACTCACCTTGACAATAGCACACCGTACATGGTGTTTCCGGATCTACTAATTTATCACCATTCAAATAAATTCTACCATCTTTTTGACAATCTATAAAGTATAAAATAAAAAAATTAACAATGATATGGGTTTTGAACAAAATACAGGAAGGAATAATTACAAAGAGAAACTCAACCTTATAGGTATAAATGGCCCAAAAAAAATGTTTATGGGTTATACATTGTTTTGATATGTGTAAAATATAATTGCCTTTAGTTAGGAATTTTAATAGGTTCCCGAATTTTGGTCTAAGAGTGGTTTTTAAGGAACTTTTAACTGTCGTATTAAGCGAGAAAGAACAAGTAGGGGAGTTCTAAGCTCGGGTGCAACCGAACATTTTATACCCTCGCAACTTGCAAGGATCAAAGCCCGGGAAATTACTTCAGGTGTTGGCAAAATTTTATATTAAAGGAAGTATTGATCCGATTCAACCAATTTTTGACACAAAGACATACTATTATCGAGAGTTCTATTTATTTATTTTATTATATGAATTTCAATTATATATCTTACACATTGACCGATATTTTCGGTAAGTAGTCAACTATAGGCACTGGGGTCCACATATTCAGTACCTAGGAGCTTGAACAGTTTTAATTCGATTTAGACAATTTTTGGTCACAAGATGGCATACTTTAAATGCATTATTCACGCAAAGCTTTACCCCGATTTAATCATTGTTGCTTGATTTGCATTGTGGAAAGTGAAAGAATCAGATGGAATTTAAAATGGTGTTATATGGGAAATCGTGGTTGTAATCCGATTTCGCCGATTTTCGCACTTGATACAAACATTTACCATTTGGTACCGTAAGACGGTTGGTTATGCAGATGGGCGCGCACACAAAAATCTATTAATCAAAAACAAATAAATTGCCAGACCTAGTCCACAATATTGATATAGGTACAATACTGTTATTCGCTATACAGGGTCACTCTAGGGAGGGACATATGCAGTTACATTTTTTTTAAGTGGACATGGTCCCGCCCCTAATAGGTTTATTGTGCATATCTCCTAAGCCACTACAGCTATAATAACAAAATTCACTGAGAACAACTAAGGAAGTTCGCAACCATACCACTAGAGCAACGCAGAGCAGTACATAAATTCTGAGTGGTACACAACCTTTTGTTCAAGAAATGAGGAAAACCAAACGCCGATAACGGATCACTCTTCACCACGACAGTGCGAGCTCTTATAGGTACATCAACTGAAACAACTGCATTTTTGAGCACTCAAAACATCGATTTGATGAGTCATCCACCGTATAATCTTGACTTGGCACCGAATAACGTCTTTTTATACCCGTACATAAAAAACAAACTAAGAGGTTAACGTTTTTCGACACCTGACAAGGCGATTGATGTGTTGAGAAGGCATGTTTAGGAGACACCTCAATCTGTGTGCCAAAAGTGCTTCGACAAATGGTTAAAACGCATGCAAAAGTTTATAGATCTTAATTGAGAATATTTTTGAAAACAATAAAGCGATTATTGATAATTAACATTTGTTGATGTTCTATAATCCCGAAATATAAAAGCCAACCCTAGTATATAAAGATATTAATAGGTGTAAAGAAATCCATTATTTTTTCAATAGATGGCGTTATTTATCTTTATCTCGCGTTGTATAAGTCCGATCGAGTTCGGCTGGATAGCGTTAGAAAGATGACTTTTCGTACTTAAAAAGTTTTTCTGACATTTTTGTGATTGGTGGATTCAGGTTTGTTTGAGCACGCGCCAAAGCTGGACACTAGAAAAGAGAAAATAGCTAGATTTTACAGTTTTTCTTCGATAGGTTCGAAAACGCAAGCTAGGCGGCTGAAAATGTGAATAGCGTTTATGGTCCTCATACTGTAACAGTAAATCATGCGCAATTTTCGATGTCAAAGATGCACCACGCTCTGGAAGACCAATTATTGAACCAAATAAACATTGCAAAAAAAACAGTTTGGGAAAACTTTAGTTTAGCATCCCACAATTTCAGGGTTAAGAGGGGTATGGTTGGATAGAGGAGATTCTCCAGATCACGAATATATATAATTGCCGCCGGAAACTTATAGTTTTCGAGATATTTGCATTTTAAGTTGAAAATTTCACAAATTTCATTTTACAATTTCTCGATTTATGGTTATCTTTTTTTTTATATTATGCACTTATTACACACTAACACTTCACTACAATGTTTCTACATATTTATTTTTTATTAAATATTTAAGTATTTGCTTTAAATAAGCATTGTATTTTTACACAATTTTCGTAATATGAACAATAACAAATGGGTTCCATGTTGTCAGATAATAAGTGTTGCCATATCCAAACGGATGAAAGCAATCAAAATAAATAAAAAACACAATCACCCTCTACAAAATATTATGAACTTAATTTTCCATTTTAATAAAAGAAAAAGGTTTTATGGCTTAAACGTATGTTTTATTGCATCTGATAATTTCACAAATGGATCATGACGCTGATTTACTATATTTTTACGCCATATGTATTCATATATCAAATTTTCAAAATCTTCACTGTTATTATAATTATCCTTAATAAAAATTGAAGTTTATAGAGAGTGATATATTCTCTTTAACATTACTTTTTTTTTGTTGAGATTTCTTATTTGCACTTCGGCCGCGCTTCAAAAAAATAACCCTGGTCGGTCCAACACCGGCGTGTTCATAACTCTCAATTCAAATTTATCAATAGAAGGGAATGAAAAAAATTATAGTTCACGTATTTAGGATATCATCCTCTTTTATTGTTCATTTTAATTCGCTTTCAAAATATAAATATATATATATATATTTTATATATATATATATATATATAATAGATATGGCAACACTTGTTAGTTGTCAACATGGAACCCATTTGTTATTGTTCATATAACCAAAATTGTGTAAAAATTAAATGCTCATTTAAGGCAAATACTTAAATATTTAATATAAAATAAATATGTAGAAACATTGAAGTGAAAAGTTTGTGTATAATAAGTGCATAATATAAAAGAAAAGATAACCATAAATCGAGAAATTGTAAAGTTAAAAACTTAAAATACAAATATCTCGAAAACTATAAGTTTCCGGCGGCAATAATTATATATATTCGTGATCTGGAGAATCTCCTCTATCCAACCATACCCCTCTTAACCCTGAAATCGTGGGATGCTAAACTAAAGCCCACCCAATCGTTTGGACCATTTGAGTAAGGCTGGATACGAAAAGTAATAATTAAAGCATTAAATTTCATGCAAAAATAATGGATTTCTTTTTACTACACCTAATATGTAAAATATTTCATTAAAAAAACTAAAAATGCTGTATTAATATATTGTACTAAAATTCGTTTTTAATACTGTCTCCAATGTTTCCAACAGGGGTATAACATGTAAAATAACTACAATAGATATTTACTTTCCTAAAAATCAGCTTAAAATCCGTTTACGCAACCCCTTTACACTAAGTTCAATAGCAACACTGATAACAAATTTGAATATTTTTGAAACGTAAACGTACATTTTTTTTAATTATTAATAATTAAATTATGTAATAACGTTAATGTTTTCTTTAATTTATATATAACTTATGTTACTAAGATGTTTTTTTTAGTTTAATGTAGACAATGTCTGTATTATAAAAATATTTATATTATCTAAAACATTTCTAATTTCTAAATATTTTCCTTATCAATATCTGTTTACTACCAGTTAACTCAATACTGTAACGTTTTGAATAAGATATAAAAAGGAAACGTCGAAGCCTCTATAAAATATATGTATATAAATGTTTCGTGTGACGAGCTCAGTCGATTTAGCCATATTCGTCTGTATATTTGTATATACGCGATCTAGTCCCTCAGTTTTTGAGGTAACGATCTAAAATTTTGTACACGTTCTTTTCGCCCTAAGAAGCTGCTCATTTCTTAAAATATCGATATCGGATCACTATAGCATATAGCTGCTATAAAGTCCTTGTAAGGAAAGTGGTTTTATTTCTTCACGGTTTTTGGCATGGGTTATTGTTCAAGACAAATTGTTCATATCGGACCACCGTAGCCTGTAGCACTTTTTATTTGTGAAGGGTATTATTTATCTTATATCTATTAGTTTTTTCGGTGTAACCGAAGTTAACTGCTCATCTCGTTTTTAATTTCGACAACCACGAACACTGTTTTTTGTAACATGCAATTTTCTAAAAAATGACAAAGGGTTGTATTGTGGTTCTCAAGTATGTGGAATTAATATTAAATAAAAAATATGTTTATCAGTATTCTTCCAATACTATTCGCAGGTTCTAATGCAAATTCTTTATTGTTTACTTTGTATTTTCAGAAAATAGGCATGTTTTATAAACGCATTTAGATTTGGTTCAAAAAGTGTTCAAAAAAAATATATTAAAACTCAAATGTATGAAATCGTATGGTTCATCACGTAAATGCTTCGGTTTGTTTTCCTCGATTTTTCTTCGGTCAGATGAACAACTAAGGAACTTTTCCATACAATAACTTCATTTTATTCGCTCGCTGTACGACAGCTATATGCTATAGTGGTCCGATATTCGGTTCCGACAAATGAGAATCTCCTTGGGAAGAAAAAGGCGCTTGAAAAATTTCAGATCGATGTCTAAAAAACTAAGGGACTAGTTCGCATATATACAGATAGACAAGGCTAAGTAGATCCAGCACGTTATGCTAATCATTTGTACATATATTGTATTTATTTTATAGAGTCTCCGAAGTTTACTTCTGCGTTTAATAACTACGTGGCAAACTTAATAAACACTGTTCAGGGTATAAAAATATATAGTTCTAACTTCTTAAAGATGTACTGACTTTTTTAAATCATAAAGAAGTTAAATGACAAACAGTTTGTTATCACTTACCGCATTTGTAATCAGGACAACACTGTCCTGTCTTTTGTATGGCTCGACAGCCTACTTGCTTTTCACATGTAACAGTCGTTTCCATCACAAGGACACCGTCCAGCAAACACTGACCTGCGACGATGAACAAATGGAAAGACAAATGTTAGAGAGCGGAAAAGACTACCAAATAAACCGCTAAGAAAACACAACCGCAACAGAGTTATGCATTTGTTAGCAAAAACCAATTTAATACAAGGGAAAAAATTAATGCGAGACAACTCAGTAACCTAATGTTTTTGATAACATATCCAAGAAGATCGATAATGGGCAAGTGCTTAACCCTGGCATTCTGGCATGTTTTGACATCTTTCGATTTGAAATTGACCTTGTTGGTGTCACATTATTTGCTCACCTTGCGGCTGGTCGACCACGGCTGGTACTGGTTCAACTGTCGAGCTGATCTCTTTTGGTTGCTCCTGCAGTATCAGTTTGGCGGAAATATCACGCCTTAGCCTCAATATTGGCGAGTGGTCGCCCCCATTGCCTATGGTTTCGATTGGCATTACGTGGTAGTAACGCATAGCTAGTAGTATTGTAGTTCATATGCAAATCATTGTTGTGACAGTTGAATTGTTGGATATATAAGTGTACGTGGAGGTTTTAGGACATGCAAAGAAATGTAAATGAGTTGTAATAAATGAATTTTTTTATATGATAGTATATTTGCAATAGTAGGTAAAACTTTATATAAAAAATTATCTAAGAAAACGCGAAAGAACGTATGGACAAACCATTCTTGGTTAACTGGATTGTAAACGAAAGTCCTAAAGGCCTAATTTGGACACCAACTTCTATGATTACCGTCAGAGCCATCGTGACTGTGAAATTCTGCTACTGACGTATTTCGTTAGTGAGTTATCGTATTTTTCACTTTTACCGTTATATGGTGGGTGGGTGTGGTTATCACCCAAATTCATCCATTTTCCCACTGTATATTAACACATTTTTTAAAAAGTTTTAATTCTCCATGCCCCCCATACTTCGGTCTCTGTACGAAATTACAGTTTTGTGTCTTAATTTTTATCTATTGTATATTAAATAGCCTTTTATAATTTTTAACTTAACGCCATTTTGTGCTTTCAAGTTATCGCTTGGACGGACAGACAGTCACCCTCTTAGCAATGTTTAGGCGTTTAATTTCAATCTTCGGCGCTTATCTCCTACCTAAAATGTAACTCTAGCTATCATACGTTTTTATACCCTCATTCCTTTCCGTTATTACTTTCATGTTACTTTTTATGTCATTACGTATTAAACACTAAAAGATAGCCTTGAGGTTTCTGGTAATCCTTACTCCGTTGTTAATATTTAGGATATTCCAAATTCAAAGCTTACCGTTGCCAGCAATAGCTACATCTAAGCGTATTTGTATTCCCTGGACTTTTGGTTTAGCGTTGTTCTAATTTCCAACGATAATAGGTAATTCGATATTGTTCTAGTTAGTGTATCGCCTAATAAGCTGATAGACCTTCGGCACCAACAAATTCTAAATACAAATACATTCATGAGAAAATGATTGAACATTTTTAGGACGGTCAAAAGGGGCGGCTGGAACATGTTCTTAACGCTATGATTATAGCCGATCGATGACCCTGCAGGCCAGATCAGGTAAACAGACAGTGATTATTGCCACTAATATCGCTATTGTGAAACCTCAAGATCACAGACTCCATTATCGAAACAATTGGCGCTTAGAGAAGTTTCTAACATAAAACTTAAAATAGCAGAAATAAGCAGGCTTAAGCTAAACTGCTTAACCTTTTAAATAACAAACTTAACCTTTCGTTCGCGGTCTTGGTCTCGGTCACGTGGACCCCATGCAAGACAACTAAATGCTGAGAGCACAGGGCTTATTGAAGAAATCCTGCTCGGCTCAGTCTAAAACCACCAAGACATACCGTTTTCGAATATACTAGTACAATACGCCAAAAAATAAAATTTTTTAATAGATACCGGTGGATATGTCTCCGTTATATAAAGTCTCTGTATTCGATGAGGCGGTTCTCAAACTTAAAATATATTTACGACGAGCGTGTTTATGGAAATTCGTTATTGTTAACGTTCCCCAAGCAATTAATGGTGCTGACTTTCTAGAACATTTCAAGCTCTGGGTCGATCTCAAAAATAAATGTCTACTCGATCGATTGACATAACGCGCATATTCAACATAAAATCTTTTTACGCGAATTCTATGTTTAAAAGTGCTTGTTAAGCTTGCTAAGTTTGTATGTATGTATGTATGTATGTATGCATGCCTGAATGTTTGTATGTTTGTAATTTTTTCTGTAGCACTAAAACTTAATGGCACTGTGTGACAAAAGAATCAACAGTTTGATAGGCACTGCAAAGAACAAAGAAAGCCTAAAACTGTCATTTCAATAACAAATTTACTCACACACATCCTTAAAGAAAGTGAAAACACCACGTATGGCTTAACCCTCTCATGCCCGAATTACAATCGGAGCAGCTAAAAATTATTTGAGGACAGACTTGTGTTACTCGTGATGCAAATATGAATTGATGAAAATCCTTGTTGACCTAGTTCGCTAGGAACAAAATTTTTATATACAACTCTTCACTTTTTATACCCTTGCACGGTAGTTTGTAATACCTGAAAATAATCGAGTTAGATATGGACTTATGCATATTATATATAATATATATTATATATTAGAATGGACGAGTTCGTAGATGGGCGTAATCGGACCACTGTCACGCCCGCAAAACGCCATTAATCGAAAACATATAAAATGGCATAACTAAGCAGTAAATGAAGATATAACAAGTTCTGGCAGTGGTCGTATACCATCTTTGTGACAAAATCTCTGAGGAATCGTATTCTCGAGACGCCAAATTCCGATTTCCTAACGTTGAGAGTAAGGTTGTTTTTCGTAAATCGTTGAAAAACTTAGCATAGGTGGCGTCGATGATCATCTGAAGTGGAGACAATGCATACATCATTGAGATTAAGAAACACGAAGTGTAAATCACGGAGAACTTCATTAAGGAGCATTTGGAGCGTTAATACAGCATTCCGTAAACTAAAGGTCATATGCAGGGATGAGCACTACCAAGTCGTAGAGGCCGATTGGAGTCGTTATCGCAGTTTTACAAATGCCTTCTTTATTTATGGGCAGTTGGTGAACGGCTTTTTTCCAATCGAAAAGACACGTTTTCACTCACGCACCGTGGGCAATAAATGCCCACTTTCAGCAGAGAATCAAACTCAGCTTTTGCAGTGATGTTCTGCCGACGATTTTGTTGATTAATTTAGCGGATCGGAGCGGGTGATACCATAGAACTATTCGAGAATACGTGAATACATATAGTTTAAAACAAGTAAGGAAGTCCTTGTTTTGGGTGTAACCGAATATTTTATACTCTTGCAACTTGTAGAATCAAAGCCGGTTAAACACCTTCAGGTATTGTGTAATATGAAAAAATGTAGTGAAATAATTTAATACTCATTATTTGACGAAATCGTGAATGGATTACAATCAAATTTGTATTTTATTAACTTACATTCATTAAGGTACCTCACATACCATCACCAATAAATTATATAAGGAGCAAAGTCGACTAGATTTTGGAAAATTTTGGTATTAGTTATATGGGGGTTAATTTGTCTATTTGGTATATGGGTACTAAGGGAATTATTGATCCGATTCAATGCATTTTCGACATATAGGCATACTACTTGTATTATCAGGAAATGATTCTCGCCAAATTTCTATAATATAATATAATATATTTCTGAGGTTGCTTTATTTGTATACTGGAATGTGAAAGGGAAAGAGAATCAGGTATCGATTTATCACCCTTTTAGTAGTTTTTAACAAAACCGTTATATAGGGAGTGGGCGGGGTTATCATCCGATTTAATTTTTTTACGCTATCGTAAGAAGGGTTGAAAGAATTGAACCTGTACAAATCTAGGAGATATAGCTTTATTGTTTTGGGAGATACATACATTAAACATATTAGGAGTCGGCGCCACGCCCACTTTTTAAAGATTTTGAAACCACAGGTTCCCCTTCTCAATCTGATTCGTTGTGCTAAATTTGTGTTCTGTGTCTTTATTTACGGCTAAGTTATGGCACTTTATACGCTTTCGATTAAAGGAGTTTTGTGGACGTGGCTGTTGACTTTACCATCAACGTTAGCAAAACGGAATTCGGCGTCGCGAAACTACAATTCCTCAGACATTTTGTCAGCAATGGTATTGCCTTTTAGATTTCAAAATTCGCTTCGAAACACGACATTTTAACAGGTGATGAATCGTGGACTTACACGTATATGTCCCAAAGTAAACAGCAGTCCACTCTATGGGTGTTTCCAGATAAGCCGAATCCAACAAAAGTAGTTTGCGTACGAAGCACTTCCAAGCAAATGGTTCAGTTTTCTTTTAAGAAATCAGGAAAACCAACCGCCGATGATGGATCACTCTTCATCACGACAATGCGAGCTCTCATACATCGACTGAAACAACACTGAGTTGTTGAGCACTCAAAACATCGATTTGATGATCATCCACCGTATATTCCTGACTTGCCACCGAATGACTGTTTTGGAGATAACTCAACCAGAGTGGCAAAAGTGCTTCGACAATTGGTTGAAACGCATTAAAAGTGTATAGATCTCCATTAAGATCTTTTAAATATTTTGTAAAACGATAAAACGATTTTCGATGACTAATATTTGTTTTTGTTCTCTAATCCCGTAACATAAACAGCAACTCTGGTTCTACGTAATTTTAAACAATCAATTATTGTCACTGAATTACAACGTTTTCTAGCGATGATTAACTTCTATCGCCGCTTTTCACCGAACGCTCTTAAGACACAAGCTTGTGTTTTCGAAATGGTTCCTAGTTATTGTTCAATTAAAGGAGTATCGGTTAATTGATTCTCTGGTTAATTGAACCAAAAATTTTACAACTATCCGGGGATACTGTACTTCGTTAATCATAATGAATATCTTTGAAAAAAATTGAAAATATTTCATATTGTTTGCGAACACATTTTGCAAATGTGAATGTAAATTTAATAATCGAAATATATTTGAAAACTTTTCACATTTAACATACTTAGCGCAGACATTGAGGTTAAGCGCTTAACCAGAACTTTATTGGCAACATGGTTTTATCAATATCTTGTTAGTAACCATCTGTCAGCTAAGTTCTGGTTAACTTTATCGAAAGAAGGTGTCTTCGTTAGTTTCTAATTAGAATATGAAATGTCAGTTTTTAGCTGTAAAATTAATTAGAACAAGTAAGGAAGGGTTAAGTTCGGATGTAACCGAACATTTTATACTCTCGCAAAGTCAAATGGTATACTCGTTTGAGATTTCTTTGTGGATTGCCTGATATTTTCGGTAGAAGGTCAACTATAGGCACTGGGGTCCACATACTTAGTACTTAGGGGCTTGAACAGTTTTGGTTTGATTTAGACAATTTCTCAATTTTTACTCAAGTTAGAGCTTGCACGGACGGACGGACGGACGGACGGACAGACAGTCACCCGGA